CAGGGGGGCTGCCAAGCCTCAGGTGCCCTCATGTGGCAGCCACATCCCAACAAGCTGCCAATCCCTGATCTCATCCCACTGGAGGCAACACCGTGTTATCTGAGAGGGAAACAGAAACCAGAAAACAGTGGGGAAGCAGGGGTGGGTGGGAGCCCTAGAGCCAAGGTCTATTGACATGGGAACCCTGAGAAACCCAGACAGGTGTCAGTGGTCCTGCCATCTGAGACCTCAGCTGGGGGCCTTTGCTTTCCTGGGGCCATCAGGGCTGCTGGTGCCCCACCCTGCTCTAGGTGCGGGGGGTTCAGTGGTCTCTGGTTTCCTTTCTTAGAGTAGGAAATGGACAGCACAGTAGTGAGCAGCTAAGCTGATATATTTGATTTGTAATATTCACAAAATCATGACCGTGTCAAGGGCTAAGCTGAAAAATAAAGCTGATTAGGAGGCCCTCACGGGATAGGACAGGGAGCAGCTGGGGGCCTGGGGGCCTCTCTTAAGAGGTTGAGGTGGGTCTTGGACAGAGACATCAGACAATATTTTCTCAGATAACTCCTTTTGGAAAAGGTTCTGTGGGCCTGAGAAGGAACCCATTTGCAGACACTGGAGCAGAAGAAGAGACCCCAGAGGGAAGTTGATTCCTCAGCCCGTAAGAGAAAAAAGAAACCCAGTATTTCTTGTTCGCCATCCGCGGTCTGGCACTCGGTCAGCACTGCTCTGAGTTAACGGTCAGCACTGCTCTCAGTTAACGCTGACAGCTCCCGGTGAGATGCACGGTGTCATCCCCAATTCGCAACTGAAGCGGGGGAGGCTGGGGATGACAGTCGGCCTGTGGTCTCCCGTCCCCACCCTTTTCCCACCCTTCTGAAAGACGTTGATTCCAAACCGCTTTCCCAAATGCTCAGGGGAACTGCAGCCAAGACAGGAGAAACTACTCTGCAGGGAAAATCCCTCATATGCCCATGGGCTGGACCTGTAATCTTGGGGTCGGGGAAGGATTTGTGACACGATCGCGCGGTTTGAAGCCTCCCACATCTCCTGGAAGGCTGCAGCTGTCAGCAGGGTTCCCCTCCCTCTTCCACCACCCATCCCTCCACCTCCCCCACTCCCGCTCAGCGGTGCATGAGGTTCGAGCCCGACCTGGCAGCACCTGGGCCCCCTCGCCCTTCCAAGGGAATCATCTGGGTGGGGAGGAGAAAGGAGCCCAAAGCCTGGAAAACCTTGTCCCCCAAATGAGCTCTGGGATTGCAAAGCAAATTAAGGGCATTTGCTCAGAAGGACGCCTACTTAACCAGGATCCACAAAGATCTGGGAGGGTTACTCACAACCTTTTGGGCTCCAGGTCGCGGACAACTGGGTAGGGCGGGCTGGGGTGGGCGTAAGTTTGGTCAGGTTCCTCGCCTGTTGATTTCCTGCCTTACTATCAGCACCGCCGCCAGGGGGCGCACCAGGGTTGACACGGAATGCACCTGCCCTCCTGTGTGTTGTATTAACACTTGCTCACCTACCCCGCGTTTTGGCTGTGCAGGTCATGGGCTTCCAGTATTTCCAGGACTGCCTCTGTGCTCAGCAAACTGAGCAGGGCAGTTGAAAGAAAAGAAATCTTACCAAAAAAACTCCCTTGCCTACCGCTTACGCTATGGCCCTCTTGTTTCCAGCCTCGCTCTGTTGTCCATCCTAGCAGTAGTTTCTAGGGAGCTCGCTTAAAACCGATCTGGGAATCCTATAGTTCTTAGGAGAAAGTCAAAAGCCCCTTTCTCCAGGTCAGAGGACTTGGACTCCCATGCACTCCCCCTACGTACTGTTCTCACTTGAGTCCTGTTGTTTTAGGCCACTGGACCTTCTTACTTGCTGTTCCCCTCACTGGCAGCGGCCCTGGCTGGGGCCTGGCAGCCCTCCAGACAAGTTCGAAGGAAAATGAATCTCAGAGAGCCTGGATTGGAGATTTCCTCAGCCCTCCCGGCGATAGACCGGTAGCCCCATGAGGGCGGGCGGAGGCCTGGCCGCGGTATTCTTTGTGCCTCGGCAGGAGGTCGGTGGAGCCTTTCTGAATACACAGTAGCTGGACTGAGTGGCTTGGGGGAGCGCACATCAAAAGGAACCTTGGAGCAGCTAGAGAGGCTGGAGGTGGGCTGAGAGTAGGGTCCTCATCCAGGTCTGAGGTTCCCGACATTCACATAGAACCCAAAGTGGCTTCCTAGGTGTTAACCCTTTGCCTTCAGGTCCCTGACCCTTGCTGTCTTAGGTGCCTTCATTTAAGAGACTGCATCCCGGGTAGAGGCCCTGCAGTCCATCCTGCTGTTGCTTCCACTCATTCCATCCTAGTGGACTTGACGTGAATTTAACCCTTTCACCACCAAGTTTGAGGTGCTTATGAGAGAGGGTGTTTTCGTTTGTGACACTTAGGTGCAGAAGTGCCCTCCCTTCCCGGGGCAAAAACCATTCTTCTGTTCCCACAGGCAGCACAGGTCTGGCAGGAGGAAGGAAATTAAACCTGTGTTGAAGGAAGGACACCTGGCAGGAGAGGAAAAGGCTCAGAATTCCCTCCTCTGGATAGCTTTCAAGTGGGGGAAATCCCACCCCACCTCCCACACTTCTATCTCCCAGGGGCCATGCAGAGCCTCTGCCAGATCACACTCCTGTCCTCCTTTACTTCCCTGGAGCATAGGGCCAGGAGGTTCCTGGATTCTACAAAGGACACACTCCCACTCACTTATTTCCCATGGGGATGCACAGAACTGGGACTCCAGATGCTCCAGGCTGCCTGGAGGAGGTATCCAGATACACATAGCCCTTGGGGGAATGACCAGTCTTACCTACACCATCTAGGACAACTGCCTATACTCAGCCAGTCTACATGCCACTCACAGCCCTGGGGCTGGCACCTGGGGAAACTTGAGTCTCTGAAATGAGGCCATGGAATCCAAGCCCCACAACCCCACAACACTGAATCCACTGTAGTGTCTGGGTAGTCAGAGAAGGTAGCTCTCCCTAGCCCTCAGGAAAATGATTATGGGGCTCTGGAACACCCCTAAGTGTTGAGCTCCAGCAGGTTAACTCTGATCAGAAAACCACCCAGGAGGCCTGTGGGTAGGACAGCTCTCTGGGTAGGACGTAGCAGTAATAGTTCATGCAGGGTATGTGTGGAGGGCTCTCTACTCCTGCAGCCCTGGTCCTTGGATAGACCACTGCAACCTCCTTTGCAGGTGAATCAGACATGGGGTGCCTCAAACCAGATTGCAGGGATCCCCATCACTACAGCTGCTGCCAGGGGTCTTTCTTTGCCTTATAGCTCCTTGACCCTCTCCACCTCCACCCTGCCCCTTTCTTCCTCCCACTTATTGCTGGGGCTACTTCCCTTCACTTCTCCCCCCTCTCTCAGTTTCTGTCTCTCAAAGTCTCTCTCTGTCTCTCCCTTTCCTCCCCTTGCCTCCTCTCTTTCATCTCTCCCCCCACCCCACCCCCTCCAGTCGAGCACCGGGCTAGGAACGCGGCAGAAGCCGGTGACAAGCCCAGGCGGCTCTCCCGACCCTTGGTGCCCCCGGGGCCAGTTCCCCGCGCTTCCCGCGCCGGCAGCAGCCGCGTGCGGAGAAGGCTCGCGGGAGGCAGGGGCAGCGATTTGAGATGTGGGTACAGGCGGCCCAGATCAAAGGCCAGGCATGTCTGGCCCCCTGGCGTGGGACTTCCTCTGGTCTCGGCTCCCACCTCCCGGAGAGCTCGGTGTTTCAGCTCTCGGCTGGACTCCGGCGACTCGTTCTCTGCCCCTTTTGCGCAGTTCCCAGAACGGCGGCGGTCCTCGCCCTGCTCTTACCCATCTGGCTTCCTTCACCGCAGGCCAGGGCTGCTGCAGAGCCCCGGCACCTCAGGTGGCCCGGGAGGGAGGCTGGGGAAAGGCGCCCTGGTGACAGGGGGTGAGTCCCCTCAAATCTGGCCACGATCTCGGTACCACTCAGGGCTGAGACCTAATTCCTCGGCTCTGGAGAAGAAGAGGAGAGAAAGAAACCCCGTGGGGGGCCTGAAAGGACTCTTCCTATGGGGAGGGACGGGGCATTTAGTTTCCTCATAGAGTGAAGGGCTTCCTCACCAAACCCCAGCTTGGAGCTTCCCATCACTAGAAGGGCCCCCGGTCAGGCGGTGAGGGATCCTGCGGAAAGGTCTTGCAGGACCTCAGCAGCTCTCAGCCAGGGCTTGCTGCGTTTCACTGGTCCCAAATGGTTCATCCCGGAGATCCAAATGGGGCTGTGGGTGGCGCTTCTGACTCAGGCCCCAGGTCGGGCCTATTACCCCTCGAGGAGGAGAAAGTGACCTGACTCCGCCAGCAGGAAATGCAACTGGCCGCTGGTGTCAGTTGCAGGAAATGCAAAGGCAGCAGGAGGTCCCGATACCGATCTGATCCCTGACAAAAGACTCAAATAACACTCGGCTCTGTCCCCGCGGCGCCGCCCGCAGCCAGCCTTCGAGCTGCCCCGGACTCTTCGGCACACCTCTCGGACACCCGGGAAGCGACCTCCCGCGCTGGGTCTAGGGGCTGGTTGGCTCGTGGGCTCGGGAGGCTGGAAGCTGGGAGGGGTTGCATTTCCCAACCTCCTGATCCTGACTTGCCAGAGAAAGGCTTCTGGAAACCTCCCTGTGTTATCTACTCTCCATTCCTCACGGGCCCAAGTCCTAAGGGGTCCCTGTCCCCTACGGAAAAGGAGCCACCCATTAATGACCACGCCAACCCGTCGCTACGTGAACGCCAGGGTCGAAGCCTAAACCTGGCTGGCTGGGGGCCGCGGCGGGCCCGGGCCCTTAGAGGGTCCAGCGTGCCGTGTGCCCCTGAGTCCTCACTGTGTCCGGGGCGCGGGCTTTGCCCAAGTTTGCTGGGCGATGCCCTTCCCGGAGCCCGAGTTGTGGGCCGGGCGGGAGGGGCTCGTGATTGACAGGCTGAACTACAGACTCATCTCTTACCTTAGGCCGCGGACGCTGATTGGCTGCTCGCTGACATCCTCAAACCCGGCTGCTCCGCGCTGGCTCGGGAGGGGGGCGGCTGCGGGTGGAGGTGCGCTTCTGCCAAGCCCGAAAGTCATTTCCAATCTCAAGTGGACTTTGTTCCAACTATTGGGGGCGTCGCTCCCCCTCTTCATGGTCGCGGGCAAACTTCCTCCTCGGCGCCGCTTCTAATGGAGCCCCACCTGCTCGGGCTGCTCCTCGGCCTCCTCCTCGGTGGCACCAGGGTCCTCGCCGGCTACCCAATTTGGTGGTAAGACTCGCCTCTTGTCTGCCCGCGGCCCGATTTCTCAGCCGCGTCCGGGGAAGATGGGAGGCGCGGACTGGGGGTGGGCTGCGGCAGAGCTGGGGCGCCTTTCTTCTTGCCTCCCTCCAGACCCCCACTCGCCCACCCCTCCTGGATTTTCTGCTGGTGTCGCCTTTAGAATCCAACTCCTGGCTTCTCTGATAATCACCATTTTCCCTGCTACCCGCTGCAGAGGCTGGAGGACTTTCCCCGTCTCAGAAGGTCTCTTATGCTTGGGTACTAACCCTCCACCCGTCCCAATCTAGAGGTCCCCGAAGACCCTCCATTTGCTTGCAGTTGGGTTTCTGGAAATCCAGCGCTGTCTCTGGGGCCCAGCCACTCCTCTTCTCCATTTTGGGGTCTTCATGGGCAAAATCATTCTGTTCCTTCATTGCCACCCCACCTTTGCCTGCGCCTCCATCAAGAGATTTCCCCACAATAACACCCTTTGCCTTCCTATTTCAGACCCCAAAGAATTCAGGGATCCTCCCGGGGCAGAGGGGAATGTGGGGAGGATTTCATCAGATTCTCCCCACTCTGCTCTAGATTAATCTTGAGCCGCTGAAGTGAATACGGTATTTGCTGATCCGAGATGCCATTGAATTCGGATTTTATTCATTTCTTGCTTGTCCAACCTGGCACAAGGAGGGGTTCCTTGAAAATGTAGTTGTTTAGGAAGGGTAGGCTTGTTGTTCTTTGACGGAAAACCCAATTCCCTGTGTCACATTCGTTCCTTTTGGAAAACCGAGGACCGAGGAGAAAGGGAGAAGAGAATTCCGTCCCCGAGAAATGCGGATACAAAAGACATTTTAGTTAAGGGGGCTGGGAAGCCAGACTTAGGGCTTGGGGGGCTGTGCACGTGCAGGGGGGACTGGGTGAGGGATCAACAGCCCCTTGGGAGCCTCAGCTCCAGGGAGTCCCCTTGTTTTCCAAGCGGGCCCCATTGCCACTCCCCCGCCCTCCGCAGGTCCCAGGGGCCAGAGGGGAAGACACACTGAAACCAGTTCTCTAAATTACACCCCGCCTCTCCCCAGTCTCCAGTCCCCTGCATTCTGGAAAACTTTAATTAAAGAATCTTCCCCCTCCTGGATGGAAGAGAGCCTCGGCCTGGGGGTGGGAGGTGAGGAGGAAGAATTTGGAATCTGTGAGTAAGAAGTGTGGCTGTCTGTGGGCCCTGGAGTGAAAGTCAGGGAGAAGTACCTCCAAGGTGCTGCCTGCAGCCCCTACTCTCCCTGCCTTGATACCCCAGAGCCCAGGGTAGGGAGAACAGAGTCAGCATGATTTGGGGGCCACACCCTAAGTCTTCCTCCAGTTTTTTGGGAGGTGGCAACATTTGTATCTTGGTGTTTGGGGGTCCCTAAGAGTGAGGCTGGGGGCAGGGGCAGGTCACGACCAAAGGTTTCTGTTCAGAGGGTAGTGGGAGCTGCACCCCGGACAGATACCAAGGATAAGTCTTTCTTCTGCCCAGCCCACCCTTCCCTATGAGGCCAGGCTGGCCTGAGGCCTTCTCATAAAGAAGTCCATTGGGTGGCAGGGCAGCCAGGGATTCCAGGATAGGGGTTTTGCCAGTTGGGGGTGATGGCTGCTGCTGAAACCAGTCCTTCCTCATTGGCCATTCCTGACCCTCTTCCCATTCCTAGGCCAAGGCCATGCTGTTTTTACTTTCACAGGGACCCTGATTTGGGGTGGTGGTGAGGGCATAAGAGGAGCAGACTTTGAGCCCCAGAGGTGGCAGGGACCGAGAAACAGACACCAGGCTCCTCTGCCCTATTACCTAGAGGAGGATACTTCCTAGGGCAGTGCTGGTGGGTAGGTGTGTGTGTGTAGGGGGGTGTTCTGGTGTGAAATGGTGTCTTGGGGAGCATCTAGATAAGGACCACTCAATAGGAAGAAACACTGGGAAAATCTGGAAGGTGGAGACAGGGGTCCTAATGTAATGCTAGACACATGACTTGTTTGGGAATTGGAGGTGGAGGGACAGGGATGCTGCTTTGTCTGAGCTAAGGAGAGACAAGACTTGTGTGTGTGTGTGTGTGTGTGTGTGTGCGTGCGTGCGTGCGAGAGCGATGTGGGGGGTGGGCAGGTCCGAGTGTGCCTCTGTGCATGCCTGTGGTTGTCTACGTATGTGTGTGTTTCTGGATCTATGCCTAAGAGGTGTTGTCTGTACACTAGTATGTCTCTGTGGGCAGAAGTGTTCATGCCTGCAAGTGGGCAACTGTGGATGTGAAATCATGCAGGTGTGCTGGGCCACGGCTATGACAGGGTGTGCTGTGTGTCTCTGCATACAAGTGTCAGCAAGTGCCAGATTCTGGGATGTGTATGTTATGAATGTGTGAGAGACTGAGACAAGTCTAAAAGTACCTTTCCCCATGTAAAGGTCAGTGATGTGTCTGTGACACTGGGCTTGACTGTGTTCATGACCGGGCATGTGAGTGTGGGGTGTGCGTGTGTGCGCGCGTGTGTATGCATGCCTTCATGACACTGTAAGGGAAAGTCCCACAGCTGTCTTTGTGTGTGAATATCAGTGCTCATGGCCATGACCTGATTGTGCTTGTAGGTATGAGTTAGCCTTATGTCCACAGCTGTTTGAGGGCTGTGTCTGGATCTGTCTGTGATCATGTCCCCAAGTGTCAGTGGCTGTGGCTGGGCCTATCGCTGTATGTCTGTGGACATGTCTGCAGACATCTGCCCAGTGGGTGTGAATGACACCTGAGCCGAGTGTTGGTGGGCAGCTGTGGTCCTGAGGGAAGGTCCTGCAGGAAGCAAAGGTCTCCCGAGGTGGCTGCAGGGAGCGCGCCTGACCTGAAATCCCAAGCTGGGGGGCGGGGCAGAGCCTTCTTTGGCACCAGCTTGTCCTGTAGTTACTGGCCCTCTTCTCTGAGGTCGTTTTTTCTTTGGTCTTGGAACTGGGGTGGAGGTGAGTCACTTTCTGAGAGCCAGGCAGGGGCTGGGGCTACAGAGCGGATGGCACTCAGATTTCTGACCCCTCTCTGGCCCGGAGCAGTCAGATTCCAGTTCTTTTAGCAGCTGAGCCCATCACAGCCTGCCTTCTTTGGCCCACCCAGCTCACATATTCCCCAGGAGGGATTTAAAAGGGACTCATGTAGCTGTAATGTTTGTCCATGCCACCCTCAAGGAGGGTAACTCCACTCCAGCAGCACAATGACCAAAAGGGAGTTCAAGAAGCTTCAGACGGAGGCTCCTGGATGGAAATGCTGTGCTCCAGGCCCCCAGCCAGGTAGTGGCAGAGCTGGGACAGTGGAAAACAGTGGGAGCAGCAATGATATTCTAGAACTCTCCTTGTCAGTCTCAGTTAGCACCTGATGGAGAAACTTGTCTTTCTTTGCCTTCTTGGGAGAAAATGACCCTATCTTATTAGGGCCTAGCTCAGCACCCGAGTAGAAAGGGCCTGTGCTGGAGGGGGTCAGACCTCACCCTGCCTCTGTGTGACTGAGGACCAGTGACTCACCCAACCTGGGCCAGTTTCTTCACCTTTCACTTGGGGATCACAAGCCTGCCCTGCCTCACAGCTTGGCTGAGAGTGGTTTGCAGAGGTCAGAGACAGTGAGCTGGGAAATAGGACACCTAGTCCACCATCCTCCCACTCAAGCACCTGCCCTGAGTCCTGCCTCAGTTTCCCCATCTTTCAGGTGTCCTGCTGCTTCCCTCCCCCCCACTCCTACCTCTACCGCCTTTCAGAGGCTTGTGAACATGTTCAGTCAAACCCTGGTGGGGTCAGTGGGCTGGGCCCAGGGAGGCACCTGGAGACTGCGGGGGAGGAAGGCCCCAGGCCAGGTGTTAACACTTGTAACAGGCAGGAATTACAGCTGGCTGGGACTGGGGCTGGCGAGGAGCTGAGCTGGCTGGAGGCTGTTGATCCCAGAGACAGACAGACAGACAGACAGATGGGTAGATACCAGAAGGGATGGCCAGGCTTTCACCGGGTGGTCTCTCTTCTAGGGCAGATCTTCCCCTGGGGGTATGTGGTGGGGGAAATTAATCCAGGTCTCCTGGAAATGAGTTAACAGCCCTCCTGCTCACTCCACCCCTATTGTAGGTGGGGCTTCAGAATCTAAAGGGAGCAAAATTTATGGCTGATCTGTTGGTATTCTTCTGACAGGATCACATTTTGCTTAAAAAGAAAGAAAACAGGTCAAACGTTATAATAATACCAGGAGCCTGAGCTGAGTTATGTCCTTGGAAGAACCTGCTTTAATGTATGGGGGGAAGGCATAGAGGGAAGGGGAAGCTGTCAGGGAAAGTTCGCCCACAATTTCAGAGATCATTTTATCAACAGCTTTGGGACCAAGAGGTGAACAATGGGTGGAGTCTGAACATCACCCCCCACCTCTACCCCAGGGATCCTGAGGGCCTGGGGTTTGGGGTGTCTGCCCTGCAATTAATCCTGCCCTGGTGGGAAGACTTTTGGAATGGAGGGTGGGTCCAAAGAGGCAGGAGCTGGACTTCTGTGCCAACTCCTTTAGCAGATGGGTGCTGCAGCCTCCCCTGTGGCAAGCCCAGCCAGACCCTGTCAGTGTCCACACTCTGACTCCCAGGTGTGTTAGCTCAATTGCTAATGAAGAAGAAACTGAGGCAGCCCAGACACAGCTCTGAGTGGAAATGCCTAAAGCAGAGACTCAGCTAAGCAAGCATCTTCCATCCTGTTCACTGCAGAACTTAATCCTAATAAACACAGTCGCTGGGCAGATGTAAAATTGAGACAGTCATCTGGGAACGGGGCACAGGAAGGGCGCTTTGGCCCTGGGGTTTTCTCCAAACTTGATCTCTCCTTGGTCTGGGCAGAAGACAAGAAGCCTGGGGAAGAGGCAGGAAAAGTGACTTTTCTCAGAGCTGGATATAGCTAATAGACACTTATAGGAAGAGAGTTGAAAAAGGAAGATTTTTCCAGCCTCACAATGTTGAGTCAGGGGACCTTTCCACCCACACTCACGTGAACCGCAGAATCC